ATTTTGTTTGAGTGCATGTAATGACACTTCAATCTCTACGTGCTCTTTTCTAGAAAATGTTTTGCACTATGGTTGTTAATCCCAAGCCTAGTTTTCAGTTGTCACAAATGTAGAGACTAGCCTTGCTTTCAGGTTTAGAATAACTACTTGGGTGTGGCTTTGGACAGTTACAGTAACTGTGCATCCCAGCTGATAACTGAGTAGGAAGCTAAGCTAGCTTTCAGGATTATACTGCAGCTTTGAGAGCCTCTGCTTACTTAAATTTTTAAGGCTCTGTGCCTTTAGTGAGACCTTGTTCTTTGGTCCCTTCTTGAATGTGTCAAGGTGAATTTTTATTTCTTGCTGAGTAAGTGCACTTAGTAGACTGTGTGAAGACTGATATAAAATGCTTATGTATGCTAGCATCTTCACACAATTTTGTTACTACTGCTAAAATTGTTTCTGGTTGCTGACTTGTGGCATTGTGTAATACAATTGTTCCATTAAAAAAGGGAGTTTTGTCTAAAGGTATTTGACGTTATCAGGCACTAGCTTTAAACTTTCCTCTGCAATGGACACAAAGAGCAGGGTGAAGAGGAGTCTCTCTTTGCTACTATCAGCATAGCTTTAGTGAGAAAGCACTTCTGGACAGTAGAAGTGCTGTCAGAAGTCTGGTCAGATCCGTGCTGATATTTTTTTTTCCTTCTTAGTTTAGTAGCTGGAAAGTTCAGAACTCTTGACTGTCCTCTAATACTTTTAATTAATAACTGTAATTCAGGTGACTGCATGCTGGTCTGTTGCTCACTTGCAAGCAGTTTAAACTGAATATTAAATCATAACTGAAATAGCAGTCATTAAAAATACTCAGGATGGATATAATTGATTAATATTCTCTAGGCATTACTATATCTTTTTGGAAACTTAAAACAGTAGCTATATTTCACAGAGGAATAAGTGGGTAACCTTAAGTGGCTGGTGGTACAAGAAGTATATAAGAAGTAAAGTCAGACCTGTGTTTGTTTTATCCCAGACCACTCTCATTAAAATACCACACACCTCCCACTGCTTAAAATCAGATTCAGTGTGGATATTTGTATCATGGATGGGTGCACACTCACTGGGACTTTTCTAATCCTTCTAGCTAGATTTTCTTGCTCACTTGTGAGTGTTGGTGAACTACAGCAGTGACAACCAACATGCTGCCTTCCTCATGTTTTAAACTAAGAGTTCTAGGTTAGTGTGTTTGGCATTGCTTAGGAGTTCCTCATTTGTAACTCCAGTCAGAGTAGAAACAGCAATTTTATTTTTTGGGGGTGGAGGGACAGCAAAAGGTGTTGAGGCTGTGTCATATTTGGCAGGAACGTGTTGGGTTTGTTCTTACAAATTTTCTATGACATATTTCTGGTGATTCGAAGAGAACTAATTTTTTGTCATAGTTTTGCTAAATTAAATCTGAATCTAGAAATCCTTTAGCTTAATTGATGCTATTATATATAGTTGAATAAGGGTGCTAGAAAAACTCCTACAAATCCTTCTGGATTGCTCTTTAGATGTGTATGTAGTATGTATTTCTGATTGCCTATTTGGAACGTGTTGGAAAGATTAAAGTAGATCTTACCCTACTGACAGAAATAGTTTGCTGGCAAAGGTTTTTTTATTACTATTGTCTAGAAACAATGTTTAAAACTGTATGAAGAAATACTCATGTTTTGAAACCTTCTCTTTACTTTCTAAAGTATAGCATTTGCAGGACTAGTGGCCTTTTGGCAGATCATATTTTGCATGGTTGTATGATGCCTCATTAGTTTTACAGGATGCATCAGAGGACAAATATAAATGACCACTTGTTTAAAAACATGTGACTCACTTAAAATTGAGTTTGTTTTCTGAAAGGTTACATCCCAGTCATAATTTTGGTAGCAATGCTAAGATGAACTTTAAATTACTATCAGCATTTTTTTCCTCATTGTCTTCCATGTTGGGTATATTGCTTGTTAGAAAGCAGATATGAATTGATAACTACTGGTGTTTCAGCCAAGAAAATTCTAATGTTGACCAACAGAAAAATCTTGAAGTCCAGTTGAGTTTCCAATCTCTTGTCCTTTTACATGTAATAGCTTAAATAAGAAATTTACATGCTTTGTTGTAGAGCTTGCTTATAGAGGGCAATCTGGTAATAATAATAGTAATTCCTGTATGTGTCCTCAAAACTGGAAACCACTTGCTGCTAGTTGTGGGGGAATGGAGAGTGGAGTGGAGAAACAGTGATTACTGAAAGGCAGGGGAATGGATTTGAAAACAGAACAGATAGCTAAATAATTTTAAAACAATTTCAACATTTCATTGAATTTTATTTTTTTACTCTGGCATTTAGTATAGGAGTTGAAAAATCATCAAAATGTTTTCTCTAAGTGTGTAGAAGAGAAGGCAAATTGAATTGGAAATTTTGTCGAATGTGCAATAGAAATCAATTTAAATCTTTTCAAACCTGATACATGAAAATATTCCATTTTTTCTTTAAAACTAGTTGTTACTAGCTGTGTTTCATTAATTGCAGTCAATGTCTGTGTGCGTGAAAAATAAAATACAGTGTGTTAAATTCAAAGACACAGCACCTGGAATGGTTTCATTTTGTTATGTTAGAACAGCTGGTGAAGTGAAGAAACAGCTGAGTTTCAGTTAGCTAGCTCTCAGTCATGCTGCATTTTGTGGGGAGGGAGGAAGTAGGTTGATACTCTGATGAAGGCCACCAGCAAGATGTTGAGATTATTAATTCTCTGCTAATGCAGGGTGAGAAGCTTCATGCTAGTGAGAGGTTGGTGCATACCCACCCAACAATGGATGTCTAAAGTGTAAGATTGATTTTTTTTTAAAACCTGGTCTGGAGGTTGACAGTTCTTGGATGTGGAACCTCCTGTCATGATGTTGTTACTGGTCTTGCTCCAAGCTTACTGTGCAGATTGCATCCTGTATTACATCTGTCCAGGAGTTAAAAGCTTGTGTGTAACACAACAGCTGATCTATTAGCAGTAGTCCGTGGTTCCAACACATGGTCCCTTGTGATTTGTGATTTACACTGGCTGCCTCTGTTAGCTCATTGTCCTGTAAAGTTTGGGATGTTTCTTCTCAATACGCTCACTTTGTGCTATAATGCCACAGCAGCATATAGTGGAGCTGCTCAACAGAGAGAGTACTACCAAACATGGGGGTAGGATATTCTCTTTCTTATTGTGCAATAAAAGGAATTAAGTCCTGTAGTGCTAAAGTACGTGTGCAGTAGTAATTGTAATGCAGCTGTGTCATCAAACAAGGGAATAATTACATGTGAGAAGGAAGCTACTGTAGTTGTTCTGGACCAGTGCATGTCTACTTAATATAATTTTTGTGGGTTTTTTTCTGAATGCAGTGGCTGTCAGCATTTTTAGTTTGGTGTGGGTTTTTTGGTTGTTTTTTTTTTACTCGAGGAAACCTCAATGTGGTAAGCACAAACCACTAATATTCCGCAAGTGTCGTACCCTTTTCAAATATCTTGGTGAAAATAGGTCCACATTCAGTTATATGGGATCTGGATAATGGCCCACCTTATATTTTTACTTTTGCTGTTAAGTACATTGGCAGACTTTAGAATTTTCTCCTGTTAATTTTATGCACACAAACGTAATTAATAGCTGCTTTGGAGAAGTGGTAATATGCAGTAACAAAGCTGAGCATAACTAACATGGAGCACCAGGTACTGCAGTATGGAAAATAAATTACACAACAGTTAAAAAAAATGAGATATTATTTTATATTCAGATATTCTGTAATACTTAGGAGTGCTCACTTTTATAAATTGGCTGTTACATAGGAATTTAGACAGTGCTTCACTAGGTGATAGCTGTGCCAGCGCTAAAACTGGAACAATCTTGTTAATTCTTTTGTATGAAGTGAATTGTTTTGAGAGTACTGTATTCTTTGATACATTTGAGCTTCTCATCTTGAGTAAGAAGCTTCTTTTCCCACAGAAATGCCTGAAAAAACAAAAGCTTTTCCTCTGAATTGGGAACATATGTCAAATTTCATTTTTGGGGCAGACACTAGGTTTCAGCTCTGCTTTTGTGAACTTCAGCCTTTGGACTGTGGAAAATGAAACTAGTTCAGGCAAACAGAGCTCTGCACCTGTGTAAAGGGGAAGCTTTGGCAACATAGGATTTTTGAAGTGGAAAGAAATAGTCAAAACAACTACTTGAAGATATTTCTGGCTTTGATAAAGTGTTGTTTTCTCCTGAAACTGGTAGGCACTTCCCATTACCTTCAGCACAATCTTTTTATATTGAATATTCTTTTGGCGTAGTTCAATTGCAATTTAAAAGGGGTAATTAATTTTAAAGATAACAAACCAAACTGTGAATCTTTTAATAACAAAGGAAAGTTACATTTATTATTTAGGCTTCAGGTAACCTTTCTTTCTCTGTTCAGGATTGCAGGTGAAAATATTTATATTTGTTTTGGATACTACTTTCACTTTGGTCAACAAACATATTGAGCGAGGCATTATGAGGAAAAAGGAAATCAATGACCTTGAATTCATGAACATTCAAAAGCAGAAATGGAATTTGTGGAATAACACCCAGAAAGTTACTAACACCAATCCTGTTTAGGTCAGCAAAGCCACTTGTGTATTTTTAATACAAATTTGAAAGCAACTGTATACCTGTGCCAGGTTGTTATTATTATGGACCTGTCAGCCATGCTCTGAAAGCTTTATCTTCTTGGTAGCCAAGTAATTATAATAAAGCAACCCACAAAAGATCTTCACAGAACACAACGCCAGTCTTTCACTTTTATTTAGATGGCATATACTTAAGTCAGTGTATTTCTGAAGACTTTTCCTGTGAAAGCCTGCAGATTTCTGCAGGATTTTTCATTACCTAAAGTAACAAAGTTGGACTGAAGTTTTAAAAATACTGACTTTTAAAACATGATGTGATTCTCAAATGTTTATTTCTGTTTATGCATCTTTTCCCTTTGTTTCAGGAGCTGTGGAAGTGTCAGTCCGAAGTCCAGTTGCCTGCTGGTTTAGTGCTATGCTTTATTGCTTTGGTGGTTCAGTTTTGTCTTCGTTGATGCTTGCAGAACCTCCAGTAGCATTTCTTGCAAAGGGCACAAATATTCTACTGGCATCTACAGTCTGGTAAGCAGCCACAACTGAGTTAGATGAGTAGTATTGGTTCTGAGGAAGTTATACCTTGTAAACTGATATTATATCATCAAGCTTCCATGTATATCAGAAGCTTCACTTAAACATGTTATGGATTTGGATGCTGTCTCTTCATCCAGAAAGTCACTGCAGCAAAATAGGTGTTATGATCTGTTCTGTAGGAGTAAAATGCATAAGAGAGTAACTGTTATGGGCTGCTGTATAACAGAGTGCTCAGTCATTGGACTAGACTTGCCTTAGATTTTTATAGTATTCCTGGTCAAACAGCTGAAAACATTATCTTGGAATAAAGTGGACTTCAGCTACTGCTTTTCTGGATCTAGGTAAGTCATAAACACAGTCTAGTTTTTTTTTAGCAGTAGCACCTGAAGACTGGGACCTGGCTAATGTAAAATTTTTTTACTTTTCTCAAATTAGGGATCTGCGACACAGGTCTTATTTCCTCTCCTCTTGCTTCTGCTTCCCGACGTATTTTTTTTCTATATTTTGCCCACTCCGAAATGTGAATGGGCGTTGTAGTGGAAGACAGTAGAGAGCTGAATGGGAAGTCAGGTATGTGAATGAGGCAGCAATTTGGCCTGTTTTGGAATTCAAAAAAAGCACAGGAGTTATTTTCATATAAATATGACCTTCCAGTGGAGTTATTTTGTTCCAAAAAGTGATCTTTGAAGAAACCTTCAAACTTAACAAAATTTGTGAGGACCAGTGGGTTTTTGAATTTAAAAATCTCAATTCCTATCTTAGAAGAGTGTTATCTGCTTGAAATCCTTTAGTATCTGTTTCTTGTAGCCCCTTAGGTTTTATAATTGCAAATTCTTACAGTGAAAGTGTGTGTATCTGTCTGTGTATATCTATATATTAGTCTTCTGGTCTTCCTTTTGCAGTGGAAGATGACAGATTTCATTTAGGCAAATTGGTGAAATGAATAATGTGTAATAAATAGTGCAGTATTAACAAAGCTCATAGAATCTGCTTATGGTTCATAGTAGTCTGATGCAGGCAACATGACTACTTTTTTTAACAAATGACATGAGTTAGGAGTACACGTAAACAGAATATGATTTCTGTTGAACTTAACATAGTCAAATGTGATTTGCTGTGCACAAATAAAATGAGTATTTAAAGAGGAGCTATGAATGTTATGAAACCTTTTAAGCTTCTAGTTTTACAAAGTTCTCTCTTCATGAGTATAATTACTTTAATTCTCAGTCCCGAATCATGTGAAACAAAATTCCCCAAGCCATACTTAAAAACTGGAAAACAAAAGGGGTTGTGCTATGCTTGAGAAATGCTCTTAAATAGTCTGTAGGACAGTGACACCTACTGTTAGCAAGCTAGCAGAAATTACAGGAAAAAATGCTGTGATTGGACTGCAAGGCTAGGTTCCATCCAGTTGTCTGTGCCTCAGGGTCCTAAGCCCACGTTCTGCAATTGTAAATTCTAGTTAGTGCTCTCTGTTGACTAGATGGCTTAAATGCATTAGCCATTAAAATACATGCTTTCTATACGCCTTTGACTACGTATCAACTGAAGCTTAGTTGAATACAAAGGCAATTGACTTTACAGTGGGAGAAAAAGGAAGAATATAAGTAGTTCAAAAGTAAAGCTAAGACCTAACAGAGCAGTAGTTAGCTATTAATGTAAATTCCAATAACTTTCTTGTATGTGAATAATAGGCTATTGCATACTGCACTCTGGGAGGTCTTTAAGTGAAGAAGCTTTAGAAGTTTGCAGTGGCAAGGTACTATATCCATTGCAGAAAAAGAAAACATATAACTACGACAGGACTTCAACTAAACTTTGCCTTTCTAGGGAGGAAGCTTCCTGGCATTAGGCTGTAAAGGACAAGCTGCTTCCCACAGCCCTTCCCCCCC